GATCGGGGCGTGTCTTGTCGCCCTTGCCTCGAGCCGCCGCGGGCAGCCGCTGCGGCCGCTCATGCTGTCGCAGTTGAAGGACCTGTTCGACCGCGCTGCCGCGCGAGTGGGCCTCTCTCCGCTCTCGCCAGTACTCTACATGGCCCGCCACTCAGGGGCGAGCATCGACCGCCAGGAGGGCCGTCTGAATCTCGACGAGGTCGCCAAGAGGGGCCGCTGGCGCACGCTGAGCAGCGCGCGGCGCTGCGAGAAGCGCGGCCTGCTGCAGGAGGTCTGGAACAACCTGAGCGTGCGCCAGCGCCAATATTGCGAGACAGCCGCGGCCGCATTAGCCGACAAGCTCGTGGCGCACTTCTGCGGCAGCGGCGCCGCAAGACAGCGGGCCCCCCCCTGGGGCTACCAGACCGCTGTTTGCAGGGTCCGAGGTCTGGAGCAACGGCGCGCGGCGTCGCCGATGCAAAGTCTACTCCTTCGACATCCTGCAATGTCCCGATGGCGACCTCCTCCGCCCTGGTGTGATGCGACGGGTCCTGAAGCTCGTCAGATCAGGCCGCTGCCTCGGCGTGTTGGCGGGCGTTCCATGTGCAACCTTCTCGATCGCCCGTGGTGGGCACAATGCTATCCGGTCAAAGCAGTATCCAGCAGGCCTTCCAGGGCTTCCGCCCCGCTTGCAGTCTCAACTCAATGAGGGCAATAAGTTGTTTCACAATTCTGTGAAGATATTCGACCGGCGCATTAACTGCCGATTCCCTTTTCTCTGGGAGAACCCGCATAGCAGCTAAATGTGGCACATGCCTGATGCGATCCGCATCTCAGCTGCCCCACAAGTGCTCGATGTCATCACCCACTACTGCGGATGGGGCACTGCGTGGAAGAAGCCGACTCGATTCCGAACTTTTCTCTTGCCCGACGCCGAACGGCTGCGCAAGAGGTGCACTGGGCGCGGGTTTTGCTCTTTCACTGGCGAGGCTCACCATGTGCTGCAGGGCCGAGACGACAGTGGTGTTCACTGGACTCGGCGTGCCAATCCTTACCCACCAGCGCTCGTTCGACAGCTCGCTGGTGTATTTCAGGACGCCGGCTTTGCCATGCAGTTTCCTCTCTGTGCGCATGCTTCCAAAGCGTAGAAGAGCCCGCTAAATTTGGCAGGAGAAGGAATGTTGATGTAGGACAGGTCCCCTAAATTTGGTAGTCTGTATGATGCTCGTGCGCGTCGTTCGACTCTCCCGAGCCTTCGGTTCAGAGGTCTTTTTTACTCGCAGGAGTGTTGCGCCTCATCTCATGTTGTGCAGAAAGGGTCTCGGAGTAGAAGCAGCTAATAGAGCGGGCTCGGTTTGCAGCTGGGGCTGAGAGAGTCTCAGGAATGTAACAGTTTCCATGGTTTCTCTGGGTCCTCCGCAACCCCTCCTCCTCCTCTATGCGGGTGCAGCGTATCTGTGCACTGGCCGTCGTGGTAGTATGTATGATGCTCGTGCGCGTCGTTCGAATCTCCCGAGCCTTCGGTTCAGAGGTCTTTTTTTACTCACAGGAGTGTTGCGGTTCATCTCATGTTGTTCAGAAGTAGTCTCGGAGTAGAAGCAGCTGGTGATGATGATGATGCTGATGATGATGATGATGATGATGATGATGGTGGTGCTCGGGTGAGCGGATGAGGATGAGGATGGGGATGAGGATCAGGATCAGGATGAGGATGAGGATGGGGATGAGGATGAGGATGAGGATGAGGATGATGATGAGGATGAGTACGATGAGGAGGAGGAGGCGGAGGAGGAGGAGGTTGAGGACGATGATGATGCTGATGATGGTGGTGGTGGTGGTGGCTGTGATGATGATGATGTTGCTGCTGCTGATGATGATGCTGATGAGGATGATGATGATACTGAGGATGCTGATGATGATGATCATGATGACGATGATGAAGAGGAGGAGGAACAAGGAGGAGGAGGGAGGGGGTGGGCGGAGAAGTAGGAGAAGGAGGAGGAGGCGGAGGAAACGGCGAAGGAGGGGGGGAGGAGGTGGTGGAGGAGTAGGAGCAGGATGATGATGATGATGATGATGATGATGATGATGAGCAGAATGATGATGATGACGATGATGATGATTATGTGGATGATGATAATGATGATTGTGATGATGCTGGTGCTAATGCTGATGATGCTGATGCTGCTGATGATGATGAATACGATGCTTGTGATGATGGCGATGGAAATATCGATGATCATAATGCTGCTGATGATGATGGTGATGATGATGGTAATGGTGCTGATGCTGATGATGATGATGCTGATGCTGATGCTGATGCTGGTGATGATGGTGATGGGATGCTGGTGCTGATGGTGATCATGATGATCATGATGAGGATGCTCCTGGCGTTGATGATGCTGCTTCTGATGATTATGATTATGCTGATGATAATGCTGGTGATGCTGCTGCTGATGATGGTGAAGATGATGGTAATAATGGTGATTATGATCGTGGTGGTGCTGACGATGATGATGCTGATGATGATGCTGCTGATGATGTCGCCGATGGTGATGTTGATGCTGATGAAAGGGATGCTTATGGTTATGGTGATGCTACTGATGATGATGCTGGTGGTGATGCTGATGATGGTGATGGTGATGCTGATGATGCTGATGATGCTGATCATGCTGATGCTGATACTGCTGATGTTGATGCTGTTGCCGATGCTGCTGATGCCGATAATGATGATGATGCTGATGATGGTGGGGGTGATGATGTTGATAAAGCTGATGGTGGTGATTGTTTTGATGAAGATGCTGATGCTGCTGCTGATCATGATCATGATGATGCTGACGCTGATGGTGATGATGCTGATGCTGGTGATGATGATGCTGATGGTGATGGTGACACTGATGATGCTGACGATGCTGATGATGATTATGATGACGATGAGGATGAGGCTGATGATGATGTTTATGATGGTGCTGGCGCTGATGATGAGCATGCTGCTGGTGCTGATAACGATGCTGATGCTGATGATGATGATGGTGCCGATGTCGATGATGATGGTGTTTATGATGATGAAGGTGCTGATGATGCTGATGCTGCTGATGATGTTGATGATGCTGATGATGCTGATGATGCTGGTGATGGTGACGATGCTGATGATGCTGATGCTGTTGCTGTTGATGATGATGCTGATGATGCTGCTTCTGATGCCGCTGCTGACGATGATGATAACGACAAAGATGATGATGAGGATGATGATGGTGATGGTGATGGCGATGATGCTGCTGATGATTGTGATGATGACGATGCTGTTGATTATGACGATGATGATGATGATGCTGACGATGATGCTGATGATGATGCTGATGATGATGCTGATGATGATGCTGCTGATGCTGATAACGCTGATAATGGTGATGCTGATGATGATGCTGATGCTGATGATGGTGATGATGCTGATGATGATACTGATTCTGATGATGATGCTGCTGATTGTGATGATGATGATGATGATGCTGGTGATGCTGCTCATGATGATGATGCTGATGTTGATGCTGCTGCTGCTGATGATGATGATGATGCTGATGATGATGATGGTGATGATGATGATGATGCTGATGATGATGATGATGATAATGATGCTGATGCTGATGCTGATGATGATGCCGATGCTGATGATGATGAGGATCACGATGCTGATGATGATGGTGATGATGGTGATGATGATGCTGATGATGATGCTGATGAGGAGGATGATGATGATGATGCTGATGATGATGATGATGATGATGGTGATGATGATGATGACGATGATGATGACGATGCTGATGATGATGATGATGATGATGCTGATGCTGATGCTGATGCTGATGCTGATGCTGCTGATGATGATGATGATGATGTTGATGATGATGCTGATGCTGATGATGATGATGATGGTGATGATGATGATGATGATGATGATGATGGTGATGACGATGCTGATGCTGATGCTGATGCTGATGCTGATGCTGATGTTGATGCTGATGCTGTGGCGGAGGAGGAAAGGGATGCAGAAGAGGAGGCTGAGGAGGAAGAGGAAAAGGATCATGAGGAGGCGGAGGAGGAGGAGCAGGATGAAAAGGAGGAGGAGGAGGTGGAGGAGGTGGATGCGGAGATGGACGATGAGGAGGAGGAGGAGGAGGAGGAGGAGGAGGAGGAGGAGGAGGAGGAGGAGGAGGAGGAGGAGGAGGAGGAGGAGGAGGAGGAGGAGGAGGAGGAGGAGGAGGAGGAGGAGGAGGGGAAACGGAGGAGGAGGAGGAGGAAGAGGAGGAGGAGGAGGAGGAGGAGGAGGAGGAGGAGGAGGAGGAGGAGAAGAGGAGGAGGAAGAGTGAGAGGAGGAGGAGGGAGAAGGTGGAGGAGGAGGAGGAGAAGGAGGAGGCGGAGTAGGAGGAGGAGGGGGAGGAGGAGGAAGAGGAGGAGGAGGAGGAGGAGGAGAGGAGGAGGAGGGAGAGGAGGAGGAGGATTGAGGAGCGGGATGCGTGTGAGATAAGGAGGAGAGAGGAGGAGGAGGAGGCGGAGGAGGAGGAGGAAGAGGAGGAGGTGGAGGAGGGAGGACCTCAGGAGAGGAGGGGAGGAGGAGGAGGAGGAGGAGAAGGAGGAGGAGGAGGAGGGGAGGAGGGAGGAGGAGGAGAAGGGGAGAGGAGGAGGAGGAGAGGAGAGGAGCAGGAGAGGAGGAGGCGGAGGGATTCGAGGAGGCGCAGGAGGAGGAGGCGACGGGGAGGATGCGGAGGAGGAGGATGAGGAGGATGAGGAGGCGGAGGAGGAGGAGAAGGAGGCGGAGGAGGAGGAGGAGGCCGAGGAGGCGGAGGAGGAGGAAGGAGGAGGAGGAGGAGGAGGAGGAGGAGGAGGAGGAGGAGGAGGAGGGGGGGAGGAGGAGGAGGAGGAGGAGGAGGAGGAGGAGGAGGAGGAGGAGGAGGAGGAGGAGCCCGCGGGGAGCCCGCGGGGGGCCCGCGGGGAGCCCGCGCCGGCCGCCGCGCGACGCGTTGATGTGGACTGGCGCCCCCGACGATGCCGCCGCCGCGAGGCAGGGCAGACAGGTCGCGGGCGGCTCCAGGGTCAGGCTCGCCCTGGGCATCCTGTGGCCTCGCCGCCTCCGCGGCGCGCGGTCCGCGAAGGCCGTGCGCAGAGGGGTTCTCGAGGGTGCTGCTCAGCGAGGACCAGTTCCGCGTGGTCTCTGCGGACCTCACCCACGGGGCGGTCTCTGGCGGCGTCTGCACCGTGGTGGCGTGCGCCCTGCCGGGAGTCCTGCTGCTCGCCGAGCTGGGGGCCTCCCTGAGAGTTAGCTACTCTACGAACGTCGTCATCGACGACGAGCTTGACGAATCGCTGAGGATCGAGTACGACACCTCGGTGTTCGACCTCCCCTGCAAGTACCGGGAAGTGGGCTCGTGGGACAAGTGCGGGAAAGACAGGTTCGTGACCAACAAGTCTTTCACCCATCGCACTCTGGACCGCTGGGGGGGCACCGCGGGCGCCAAGTACACCGAGGCGGAGATCGCGGTGCTCGAGCAGGCGGACGTGGCCTCGGACATCGCGGAGGACGAGGCCAAGGAGCTCGACTCGGACTGGTCCGCCAGCAGCGACCACTTCCAGCACAAAGACTTCCAGGCGGCGGCGACCTTCCACGACTACACGCCGGTGAACTTCTACGCCGAGTGGCGCAGTCACTGCAGGCAGTTTCTCCCAACATGGATAGAGGCGTCGGACAAGATCGGCGAGAAGATGCACGTCTCCGACGGCGACGGGCGGCAGTCCACGGTGAAATTCCTGAAGACGAATTGCGTGGACTTCCAGGACAACTGCAAGAAGGCCAAGATAGCAGCCTTCCCGACCCTGCGGTCTTACAAGCGCCACGGCTCCTTCGAGGTCTTCCAGCAGCATCGCTCTGTGACGAACATCGTCAGTTTCTTGACGTCGTCGATTAGAAACAGCCACTTGATCGTCGCCCGTCATCACATGATGTTCAACGAGGGATGCCGGGTGGCCGGCCAGATCCACGTGCCCCGCGCGCAGGGATCTCTCCACCTCCAGGCGGAGCCCTTCGGCAAGATGGACCTGAACCCCGCCATCACGAACGTGTCGCACCAGGCGTGCGACTATTACTGCTCCGGCTCCTGCACGACGGACTGCGTTCAGCCCGCGGGGACGGTAGCCCTGGCGTGCGAGTGCATGTCCTACCCCGACAGCGGCGAGCACAACATGTTCAGCGTGACGCCCTGGTCGGCGGCGGGGTACGTGAAGGTCTGGCTCGGCCTGATTGCTGCCGCCCCTGGCGGCTCTGAGGGGGCCTCCGCGCACGACGCCAATGCTCCTTTAATTTGTGTTGCAGGCCGTCTCCAGCCTCCCACCTACCCGTTTGTTCGACCCCCCTCCTCCTCCCGCCCGTCGCCCCGGCCCCAGCACGAAGCAGCCCGCGAACCGCTGCCCAACTTTTTTCGCATCCTGGAGTTTTATCCAGTTGGCGGCCTTTTAATCACAAAATGTTGCAACAGTTGCCAGGAGTTTTATCCGTGCAGTGTTGTGTCTACGCCCGGAGATTTTTCCAGGCAATTTTTTCATGTTCTGTCTCCGTACCATCTGCCTCGCTCTCTGGCCCCGCAGTCCCCCCCCTCCCCCGCGAGAGGAAACGCTGGCGCAAGTGAATTTGTCCTTTCGCCTACCCCCCGCAAAAGCTAGGCGGCATCGCGCTTTCGTCCGTCTTTTGCTTCTCGCCCCTCCAATGCCGATCTCTTGCTCTCTCTTGCCCCCGCCCCCGCCCCCGCCCGACGACACAGCGCGATCCGACGACTTGACGTTGGCCGCCAACACCGCGACGGTGAGGAGACAGAGGAGGCCAGGGTGCAGGCTAAGGAGGAGAAGGTCGAGGAGGGTAGTGGGGGAGTCGAGGAGGAGGAGGTGGCGGCCGACACCAAGGAGGAGGCTGTTGAGGAGGAGGAGGAGGAGGAGGTGGCGGAGGAGACCGAGGAGGTCGAGCATGAGGTCGAGGATGGAGTCGAGGAGGCGGCGCTGTTGCACACCCGTGACCCGGCCGAGATCCCCTCCAAAGAATGCGGTGCGGACTACTTGTGTGAGCTCACCGGCGTGTTCCTGACCGACGGAAAGGTTCAGCTGCGCCTCAAGGTGGGCGCGAAGGATGTCGTGCACTCGGCCCCCGCCACGGACGACAGCCACACCATAGTGATGAGCGCAAACCAGGACACCTACAGGACAGACATGAATCTCGTTTCTTGCGCTACGTGCACCGCCAATGGCCTTGCTCCCAAGGTCAAGGCTGCCGTCATCGACGCGTTCGGCATTTCGCGGGGCTTCATGACTACGATCCACGCCATGACCGCATCTCAGCCGACCGTGGACGGGGCGCCGCAGAAAGACTGTAGTGGCGGCAGCGCGGAGGTCGAGGAGGTCGGCGGGGAAGTCGAAGAAGAGGCGGCGGACGAGATCAAGGATGAGGCTGCTGAGGAGGAGGGGGAGGAGGAGGAGGAGGAGGAGGAGGAGGAGGAGGCGGCGGAGGAGGCTAAGGAGGTCGACGATGAGGTCGAGGAGGAGCCGCAGCGCGCCTCCTGGGGCCGTGGCGCCAGGATCGGCGCGCGCGAGAGCGCCATGGCGGAAGAGGAGAGTGAGGAGGTCGAGGAGGAGTCGGCGGATGAGGTCGAAGAAGAGGCTCAGGAGGAGGAGGAGGCGGCGGAGGAGGCTCAGGAGGTCGGGTGCAAGGAGGCCCGCATCGCCATGAAGGACCCAGAGACGGAGCTAAAGCTGGAGAACGCGAGTCACGGTGCGGAGCATCTTGCCTATCAGGTGAAGCACGGTGCGATCCACGGCAGGTACGATGGCACTGCCGAGGTCGACGGGGACTGTCTGGCGATCAAGGGCAAGCAGGTGGCGCTGTCGCACACCCGTGATCCGGCCGAAATCCCCTTCAAGAAGTACGGTGCGGACTACGTCTGTGAGTTCATCAGCATGTTCCTGACCGACGGAAAGATTCAGCTGCACCTCAAGGTGGGCGCGAAGGATGTCAGGTCCTCGGCCCGGGCCGCGGACAACAGCCACACCATGGAGATGGGCGCGAACAAGGACACCTACAAGACAGACAGGAATTGCGTTTCTTGCGCTACGTGCACCACCAATGCCCTTGCTCCCAAGGTCAAGGCTGTCGTCATCGACGCGTTCGGCATTCAGCGGGGCTTCATGACTACGATCCACGCCATGGCCGCATCTCAGCCGACAGCGGACGGGGCGTCGAAGAAAGACTGTCGTGGTGGCCGCGCGGAGGTCGAGGAGGTGAGTGAGGGAGTCGAGGAGGAGTTGGCGGATGAGGTCGAAGAAGAGGCGGAGGAGAAGGAGGAGGAGGAGGAGGCGGCGGAGGAGGCTCAGGATGCCGGGTGCCAGGAGACCTGCATCGCCACGAAGGACCCAGAGGCGGAGCTCAAGCTGAAGAGCACGAGTCTCGATGCGGAGTATCTTGCCTTTCAGATGAAGCACGGCTCGATCCACGGCAGGTACGATGGCACTGCCGAGGTCGACGGGGACTCATTGGTGATCGATGGCAAGCAGGTGGCGCTGTCGCACACCCGTGATCCGGCCGAAATCCCCTTCAAGAAGTACGGTGCGGACTACGTTTGTGAGTCCTCCGGCGTGTTCCTCACCGACAGAAAGATTCAGCTGCACCCCAAGGCGGACGCGAACAAGGTCGTGTTCTCGGCCCTGGACACGGACGACAGCCACACCGTAGTGGAGGGCGCGAACCAGGACGTTTACAAGACAGACATGAATGACGTCTTTTGCGATTCCAAGGCGGGCATCATGCTGGACCCAACGTTCGTGAACCCCGTCGAGGATGAGGGCGAGGAGGAGGTGGCGGCTGAGGTCAGGGAGGAGACGGGCGCTCAAGCGGTAGAGGAGGCGGGGCGGCACGCGCCGGGCGGCTCCAGCGCCAGGATCGGCGCGCAGCTGCCCGACGAGGAGGATGAAGAGGCGGACTTAAGCCAAAATGGCTACGAAGCCTCCTCCTCCTCTTCCTCCTCCTCCTCCTCCTCCCTCCCCTCCACCACCCTCTGGTCGTCGTCTGGATCCCCGTTCCGCCTTCCTCCCTTGCGCCATCGGCCGACCTCGTCGCTCTCCTCCTACCCCGTCTCCGCCTACTCCTTCTCGCCCTCTTCTCCCTCACTCTCCTCCTGGTCGTCGTCGTCGTCGTCGTTCGATCAGGCGGAGCCGGACGAGCCACCCAGGACAGGAGGAGGAGGAGGAGGAGGAGGAGGAAGAGGAGCAGCAACCAGCTGCAGCAGCTGGACGAGGATTGAGGAGGAGCACAGCGACGCCATCGGCCTTGCCGCCTGGGCAGCCCCAGCACCTCAGGCTTTACGATTGTTCTGGCACGCGCGCCGCCGCGGCGGAGTCGGCATTCTCCTTCTCCTCCACGCCTTCCTCTCGGAGATTTGGAGCGGCGCGAACCCTGGCCTCGCGGTTGTTGTGGGCGACGCTCTCTGGCTGCTCGCCCTGATGGCCCTCATCACGGTGGAGGTGCTGATGCGGGCGCGGGCGGCCGTCGACGCTTGCCTCGCTAGGGGCTGGGCCGCGGCAGCCAGGATTGACGCGCGCCAGTTCCGGAGCCGCATCCGGATGTACGGCCGAGCAGCGGCCTACCTCGGACTGAGCCTCGCCGTCGCCGCCTCCGTGGGTGCGATGGCGGCAGGCCTGGTCCACGCCCAGGCTTGCGCAGCAGCGCCTGTTCCGTCAGCTGCCCCGGCCGCCTGGGCCATCAGCTGGAGCGCCCTGGAATTCGACGCGACTCTTGGCTATCCCGGCGAGGGCCCTCCAGCTGCGAGTCCCCAGAACATGGGCGTCGATCAGGGGGCTCGGAGGGGACTCAACTGGGCCCTGACGCTGCAGGGCAACGGCCGCCGGGCACACTGCCACACTTGTAAGGAGGAGTTTGCGCTTGGCGAGCCGCGTCTGCAGACACAAGGGGCCTCCCGATTATGCCACTGGCACTGCGTGGGGAAGCGTTGGCGACCCACGGCCGCGCTGGAAGGCTCCCGTACCACCCCGCAAGCTGAGGTTGATCGCGTGCGCGAGTTGCTGGGGGAGGCTTCTATGCAGCAGGACGGGGAGGACATCTTCCAAGCGGAAGGCGCCCAGGTCGGTCCAGTGGGCCCTGGACCCGCGCTGCACGATCCAGAAGACCCCTTCGGTGCATCCCAGCTCCTGCACATGGCGTGGTGGGACACAGTGGACGTGCCAAACAGTCTCGGACACAAGGTCGCCACCATGCGCCGCGTCCCAGCTGGACTGCAAGCTGCTTGGGCCGAGGCCATGGGTAAAGCTCTGAGGGAGAGTGTGGGTGGGCAGACCGCCCAGGACCGGGAGCGTGCTTGGAAACTTGTCATTTTCGCACCTCGCTTAATATTTGCTGCCACTGGAGCCCGGGGTGGGCGCGGGGCCAATGGCAAAAGGGCCAAACACATCAAGAATGACATTGCTGAGCGCCTGCGTGCTTTTTGGCGCGGGGAGTGGCAAGAGCTGTGGGAAGCCGCTCACAGGCGTGAGTTGCGAGTGGGCGCTGCTACTGCCGTGGACGTGACGAGCAGGGCCCGCCGCGTCAACGCGCTGCTCGAAGACGGGCAGGTGGCAGGGGCTGTTGCAACGCTCCGGAGGTCCGGCCAGACAGCTGCCGGCCCAGGCGTCCACGATCGGCTCCGCGCTCTCTTCCCCGAGGCTGACACTTGGGACGCGGCGCAGGACGACGCGACGGCGACTCCGCTCGCAGCGGAGACTCGTCAGCAGCTCGGGGACGCCATCGCCGCAGCCTTCAGGAAGGCCAAGGGCGGCCGCGCGCCAGGTCTGGACAGCAGCCGCAATGAGCATTGGCGCGTGCTGGCTGCCGACACCGAAGCGGGCGACGCGTTGGTGGAGGCCGCCCTGGCCTGGGTGGAGGGCTCCGCGCCGCCAGTCGTGGACGAGTGGCTGCGCACAGGGGCCATCACGGCGCTCCACGAAGCCAGCGGCGGCGTCCGCCCGCTCACGGTCCTTGCGCCATTCCGCCGGATCGTCCTGACCGGGTTCGTGGCCCACACCAAGGCTGCCACGCGGGCCGCGGCAGGCTCGTACCAGTATGGTCTTGGGGTGCCTGGCGGCGCAGATGTTCAGTTCAAGGCGCTGCAAGCAGCTGTGCACGATAGGCCGGGCAGCGTGCTGGTGGCGGTGGACGTGTCCAACGCGTTCGGCACGCTTGCGCGCCGGGGAGTTATCGCATCCTTGCGAGGGGCACTCCCTGAGTACGGAAGCCTGCTCGCGAGACTCTACGCCAGGCCTGCCGTGGGTTTATGGCGCGACGGCACTGGTGACACGCGTGAGCTGCGCACCGGCGCCGGGGTGCCACAGGGGTGCCCGCTGAGCCCGGCAGCGTTTGCGGCCGCCTTGCACCAACTGGCGCTACAGCACTTCTCTGCCAGACCGCAGTGGCTCGTCACCGCCTACCTGGACGACGTCGTTGCCGTGGTGCCGAGCGCAGAGGCAGAAGACTACCTGCGACAGTTGTCTGGGCTGCTGGGCCCTGGCGGTCTTGCGCTGGACCCAAGCAAGACGAAGGTGTGGCTGCCCCCTGGCACTGCGCACTGTCCACCCTCCCTCCGGCAGTACGTGAAGGACGAGCTCCAGGTGGTGGGCTGCAGTCTGACGCGCCGACAGGACGACGACTGGGGCGCCCTGGCCGCGGGGGCTGGGGGCGGGGCGCGCGCCATGGGCGCCGCCACCGAGACGCTCCGGGCTTTCGGGCAGACGCTCCGGGAGGCGAGGGCCGCAGGACTGGGGCCACAAGAGGCAACGGCGATGCTGAGGTGGACAGCCCAAGGCTTACCGAACCACCTCCTTCGCGCGCACCTGCAGGACCTGGTGGCCGTCCGGGCCTATGACACGGTGCTTCGTGGCCTCTGGAATGACGTCCTGGGCGTCGACATGTCCGATCGGGAGTGGGCGCAGTCCTGTTTGCCCCTCCGGGAGGGCGGTCTCGCGGCCGGCGCGGCCGAGCCTCGGCGGGAGGCGGCGCACGTCGCCGCGTGGCTCGACGCCGCCCCGCGGGTTGCGGCGGCGCTTGGGGCCCCCAGCGCCGAGGCTCTCCTCGCCGCGCGCGCTGCGGGCACGCAGGGATTTGAAGCCGCTGTGGTGACGTACAACGCTTCGGTCGGCGCTGCCCACTGCCTACAGACGTCGCTGGCCCAGGGAGAGCGCCACCGACAGAAGGACCTGGTGGGCCCGCGGATGGAAGTGATCGCAGGCGTCGCCAAAGCTGGCCTGGACCACCGCGAGCGCGGCCGCCTGCTGTCCGCGGGGGGCCCAGGTGCTGGCGCCTTCACCATGTTGCCGACTAAGCCTGAACACAGAATGGCTCCTGAGCTGTACCGCATCTCGTTGCGGCGGCGCCTTCTGATGACGGGCGCACGGCTGCTGCGCGGACTGGAACCGCAGACGCACTGTCGAAACACATCCCGAGAGGGGGTGCTTTGCGGAGCGGTTCTGGACACCGACCAGCACCACGCCTTGGCGTGCGAGACGGGAGGGCGCCGCGTGGCGCGACACGATCGCATTCGCGACCTGCTGGCCCGCTGGCTTGCCCGGCGCGTCCCAGCATGGGTCCAGAAGGAGCAGACTGTGCCCCAGTGGCAAAGGACCCGCCGAGCTGTCGTGGATGGGGTCGAGACTGCGCGTGTCGAGACGGCGGTCCTTGACGTCGTCTGGGCCCGCCAGGGCTGCGCCAGGGCGGTGGACGTGGTCGTGGTTAGCCCGGACAGTACTGACGAGAGGGAGGCGCGTGCTCGGGCGGCGAAGGCTGGCCTCGCCGCGGAGGACGCAGCCCGCGACAAGGCGCGCCGGTACCCGCCGGGACCCACGACACCTTTGCTCATTCCTTTCGCGATCGAAACTGGGGGACGAGTGGGCTCTTCTGCGAGACAGCTGATCCTGGATCACCTGGACCGCTCTGACGGAGAGGCAGGAGCGTCTGCTGATGCGGTCGCTTTCTGGCAAGAGCTCAGTGCTGTTTTGCAAACGGCGGTGGCTGAACAGTTAATCAGCGCCCACAAGCCCCCTGTCGTCGGGGGCGGGCGCTGAGCACAGTCTGCAGCAGGAGGTGAAGGAGGAGGAGGAGGTGGAGGAGGTGGAGGAGGAGGCGGAGGCAGAGGGTGAGGAGGAATTCGCTGAGGGCGAGGAGGTGGCGGTGGCAGGACCAGTCCCAGGCCGGTGAGTGCAGAGGAGGAAGAGAAGTGGTAGAGGGGCTGAGGGCGAGGAGGACCTGCAGAGGCAGCAACGCTCGACGACGCGACGCCCGCCCCCCGCCCCCCGTCCCCGTCTCCTCGTCCCTCCTCTCTCCCCCCTCTTTGGCTAGTGCTCGCTTGCGGAGCCCATTCCCCATCTGGGAATCGCTCGACCCGCCCGACTTGGGAGGCCCCTCGCTGAAGGCGGGGGCCTCGCATGTTGTACAATTCATCCTCGTGGGACTGTCGGCCGACACGCCTGGCCCAGGTGGTCACTGGCCCTAAAGGGGGGCTAGTGCCTGGGTCGCGGATCAGCCGGAGGAGGAGGAGGAGGAGGAGGAGGAGGAGGAGGAGGAGGAGGAGGAGGAGGAGGAGGAGGAGGGAGGAGGAGGAGGAGAGGAGGAGAGGAGGAGGAGGAGGAGGAGGAGGAGGAGGAGGAGGAGGGGGAGGAGGGGGAGGTGGAGGAGGAGGAGGAGGAGGATCAGGAGAGGGGGAGGAGGACGAGCAGGAGGAAGCGGAGGCGGAGGAGGAGGAGGAGGAGGAGGAGCTGGAGGAGGAGGAGGAGCATGCGGAGGAAGAGGAGGATGAAGAGTTTGAGGCGTTGGAAGGGGTTGGAAGGGGTTTGAGGAGGAGGAGGAGGAGGCGGAGGAGGAGCTCGAGTAAGTTTAAACATGTCAATAATAAGCATACTGCGAACAATAATAGTTGGATGAGGAGGAGGAGGCGGAGGGGGAGGAGGATGAAGAGGAAGAGGAGGAGGATGAGGAGGAGGAGGGGGAGGAAGAGGAGGAGGAGGAGGAGGAGGGTTCCCCTCCCTGCCCCAGCCTCCGCCGCCACAGCCCTCGGCCCCCGACCGGCCAGCCGCTGCGCGGCGGCCCGCGTAGGCAAAAGGAGGAGGAGGAGGAGGAGGAGAAGGAGGAGGGGAACGGCCTTCGTGCCGACGAGTGTCCAGGTGAAGGGTATTTTCAAGTTTGCAGAGAAGAGGGATCTTGGCATCACATACGATGAGGCGAAGTGCATGCGCGATGATCTTGTGGGTCTACTTGACCAGGCCTTGCATGAACAGGTAGGTGACGTGCACCTTCGTGGAGTCAAGTGCCACAAGTTCATCAAGGCTGGGTTCGCCACGGATATCGGGTTCACGTTCACGGACGTGCTGTTCGATCCGACCTTCCGCAGGAATGGGAACGCGTTGTACGTGACCGTCGAGCACCCCCACCACGTCGAGAAGCGTTTCGCTGTTGCTGGTAAGGCCAAGGCGTTCTTGTTTCACAAGGTGGGGAACCAGTTTCAAGGAACAATTACTTGCAATTGGGAGCCGGATTTTCGCCTCGTCGTTTCGAACAACCAGGTCGACGTCGTCGTTGGGCACGTGGACGGGCACGGCAAGCTGGAGTTGGACGAGTCGGAGTGCCGCAAGGCATTCGGGCCAGGCAATACTTCGGTCGACCTCCGTGCTGTCTTCGGCACTTTCCGAGGGCGAGGTGCCTTCGAAGCGTCTGGCGTCGACGGTTTCACCATAGTCGGCTGGAACACTTGCAAGAAGGGGAAGTCCGCGGCGGCCCCAGTGGTCAAAGCGTTTCGTGCACAATTCGGGGATGTTGTGGCCGTCTTGCAAGAGATTCCTGCTTGGGGTTCTAGCGACATATGTTTATCACAGTCATGTGCTGCTCAGCCAACCTGGGTCCGACTGCGGCTTTTTTATTCCTAGACGCTGGATGTGCGCTGCGCGTCGGATGGTATTTCGGCGGTATTGGTCAGCATGTGTTTTTGGGAATGTGATATTTGTATCTACACACCTGCCACCAGAAGGGCATTTTGTCGACGACGGTGCTGGCCAAGTGTTACTTCAAGAATGCACGTCTTTCATTCTCAGTGTACGCGAGTCATTTTCTGCATATCGTATGGATATTGTGATGGCTATTGACGCTAACTGCAGCTTTCCCTCCAACTACAAGGGAATCACGGGGACGTGCGTGTGCCCGCCAGCGAAGTCCCACACCCGGAAGATGGGCATGGTCATTTTGAATTGGTTCGAGTTGTTGGGACTACGTGCCCATCAACTTGTCGGTGAAGGCCGCTCGGGAGAAAGTGGCTGCAGCGCCCGAGATTGACCGACGATCTGCAGTCCGCAATTTGAGGGCAGCATTGCGGCGGGCACGGAAACAGCGGGGCGAGCGTAGATTGAGATTCGTTGGTTCGTTTCCGCGCTGCGACGTCATCCCGGCGCCGCTCCGAACCAACGATGAGAAAACTCAATGCAGAGAACTGTGGCTACAGGAGGCTTTCACCTTCGGCGTGAGCCGCTTTGGGAAGAACGGCAGCGATTTTTCCGGGCAGGCCGAACGACTAGCTAAGTTGCAACATTTGGCCCCCGACAGTTTACAGGACGGCTCTATACCGGCACGGCCATCGCTATTTGATGTTTTGCAGAGCCGTGCCCGTACGAAGAGCAACATTGCGGCAGGAGTCGACGGATACCCACCACAAGTTTACAAGCATGTACCTTTCTCACTCGTTGTTCACATTTGGAATTTGTTTTGTATTCGCATGAACAGCGCATGTGTTGAGACCCTTGATACCTGGATAATGATTGAATACGTAGGCTCCCCAAAGGAGGCGAAAGCTGAAACGTTTGACAAATACAGATGGCTTTCAACATTGGACTGCGTGCTGAAGTGGTACATCCGGTTTGTCTTGAGGGCTATCCGACCAACTTCTCCTCAGACGCATGTCTGCAGCTACGGCTTCAATCAGGGCATGTCATGCAACGACATGTTGCAATACTCCGTCCCTTTTTATTTCTTTCATCGCGTTGGGGCTTGGATCTCTTCAGTGGTGCACTCGACGTTGCCATAGCGTTTGGCTCCATGGATCACGAACTCCTCAGCGAAGCGTTGTTGGAAGCGGGTGTTCACCCAGAGCACGTGTGCAGTCTTATCAGGCAGTTGAGTGGATTCTGGGCTAGGCTTGATATTCCCACTGCCGGGCTTACTGATTGGTTCCCGTTCGCGACGGGGGGCAAGCAGGGAGGAGTCGAGACACCCGATGAGTTTAACCTTTTCCTAGAACATATCATGACGCCTATCGTCGACAGCTGGGCCAGGCGCGGTTTCGGTTCCAAGTGCGGCGGCCGAGTTCCTATTACGCGCCTCGTTTGGGCCGACAACGTGTTCATCATCGCTCGATGCAGGGGCGAATTTGTCACCATGTGCCAAGAACTCACTAACGCGATCCAGTCTTTCAAATTACAATGGGAGGCTTCGTCTCTGCAGTACCTGCACGCTGGACCGACGACGCCTTCGACAGCCTCGGTGCCCCTCCCCACGAACGGGCCCGACCGCATGCAGATGCACAACGTGGCCGAGATGGAGGTGTTGGGAACATTACTTGATTCGACGGGCTCGTCTGCAACGAGTTTCGGATTTCGTTCCAATGAAGCCGAGATTTTTTTGGTCGAGCTCGACTGCCTTCCTTGGTGTAGGTCGCAATGCTGACGAGTTGTCGGCGTGGCGAGACGACCCGAATACATCTGCTTTGTTTGGGGCAGGGTCGTGGCATGCTGCGTCGACGCTCTTGTGGGAGGCCAAGAGGTGGGAATACAGGTGGTTGCGGAAGGTCTTGCGGATGCGGCGGAAGCCGAACGAGGGGCGGTTTGAATACAACCAGCGGGCGTCCAGGCTCATCCAAAATTGGGCTTGCAAGGCCAACTCCACTTTCCTTTTCCATCGAATATCCCAGGATATTTTCAAGGAAGCATGGCGGGAGGCGCACGTATCCTTTCCAGGTTGTCAGAGCCACATTACCGACGCCCGCTGCTTTCGCGACCGCAGCTGGTGGGAGTCAGTTAAGGATGTACCGTTTTCTTGGCGATCGAGGCAGGGATTCGTTCATTCGGCGCGCGGAGGGAAGCATCCAGAGTGGGAAGACGTATTCGTGATGGTGTTTGGGTTGTTTTGGCGGCGTGGGTTGAAGAGGTGCTCCCGCTTAGAGTGGACGGGCAAGCTGCCGTTCTTCGTCAACACAGTTTGCAAGCAGTGGGGCCTGAACTGGTGGAACGAGGAGGTCTTCGGTTGGATGTGCCATGCCGCCCCCCTAAACGACGACGCGCCATCACCACCCTGGAAACTGAGATCATACCAATTTCTCATTCCCCTGACGGGGGAGCTGTGGGCAATGACTGGGGTCGGGGAGATGGAAATCTGTTATTTACTGTGGGTTGCCAGCCGTTGTGCGACGTTGTTTGTGGCATATCTCCGTTAACGAGTCCGGAATCTGAAAGTTGTGTTTTGATTTGACGGATAGTGTGCACCGCGTGCTACTTTTGGGACGGGGGCCTCCACGGCGATGGCGTGACCCCGTGAAGTGGCAGCGACGGGAGCACAATCCGATAGCGGATTGCCTGGCCAACGCGACCATGGATTTGAAATCAACTGGGACAGTATATGTGGATCATTTGCCTGAACGTTGCAATCTTGTGTGCCATTCGGATGGGGGAGCGCGGGCTGGCCAATGCTCTCGTGCCGCATATATGGTGCAGGCGAAGGTTTTGGAGGAGGGGGTGCTGAGGAACATGATGTTGGCCATGGGCGGAGTGTACATGGAGTCGCCGGTATCGTCTTACTTCGTGGAGGCGGTTGTTGCACGAGTGGAATGCACGTTGCGTGTCTGTCGATTGTTGCAGAGGGGAGCTCATGTGAAACGTGGGGGAGTAAGAATGTGAATCAGTATGCCAGT